AACATTATTGTCATATATTTTTGAAAAATGTTTTAATATCACAATTACAATTTATGAACAAATTGAAAAACCGCGCTTTGGGCGTGTGTCTTTAAGTATTATTTTATTCATTGTTGTAGTTGATTATATTATTATTTTTGATAAAATATTATGAATTATCAAGAACAATCAATGCTACTTGAAATAATTAATAATAACAAATATTAAAATGATTTATAATAAAGAAAACTATGACAATATTTGAAATATTTTAATATTGTAAATCATTAACATTGTAATCGAGTTTCATTATCAAAACAGTCTCATAGTTCTTGAAAAACTTATGCGCAGCCCAAGGGCTCTTCGCTTTACACTAGTCATGTATAAGAGAATTATAAGTGAAATCGATAGGCATCAAGCCTTTGCAAGGCATTTCATCAAGAAGCTGCATTGCCTGATCTATCCTTTTTCTCTTACAGTAACAATGAATCAGGAAGATGTAGGTAAAAAATTCAGGTGTGCAACCCCTGCTTGCCATCAGTCAAATATTTCTCTAGCTTGATCCACTTGGTTGTCTAGGCAATATCCATCCATCAATGAACCGTAGGTGATAACATCAGGCTTTGTTCCTCCCTGCATCATCAATTTGATTACATCATGAGTTTTTGAAACCTTTCCTTCCTTACAAAGTCCATCAACCAAAGTACTGAAGGTAATTATATTTGGTGTGATGTTTGCTCTCAACATTTGGTTAAGCAACATAAAAGCTTCCTTCCATCGGCTTGACATACACAAACCACGGATTAAGGTGGGTAAGATACCTTTGCTCTTTATTTTGAAGAAGAGGTCTAATGCCTTGGTAACAAATCTATCCTTGCAGAGGCTGTCAATGATAGCATTAAATGACACCACATCAGAGGCTGTCAATGATAGCATTAAACTGACCACCCACATTTAGGCAGGCAAACCTTTTCTCCACCATTCGTTTCAAATCGGCGAAAGGCAACAAGTGGTCCCGTTTCCCCAATTTTACAAAGACCATTCACAATCACAGACAATCACAGTATAGGTATAAACATCAGGTCGATACCCTTTTTCAACAATATCATCAAACAAATCCACAGCTTCACCAAATTTATCCTCCCTACAAAGCCCATGGATTACGGTATTAAACGTTACAACGTCAGGCTTCAAACCAAGTTTGAAGATTTTTCCCATAAGAGAGTACCCAAAATCCACATGGTCCAGGTGGCAGAAGCAATTAATCAAAATATTAAAATAATAAATATTATGTGAAATTCCAAACATTTCCATCTGTTCAGAGAGAGAAATGACAGTAGCATAATGTTTCATTCGAACAAGTGCAGATAACAATTTACCTTGAAATTCCATAAACGGAGGTGAGGATTACTACGAAGCATTCAAATCAAAAGAAAGCCAAAGCATAGAAGCCAAAGCATCATGAATGTTATGGAAAGAATCAGATTTGCTTTTACCTCTCAAATATGTACTGCCTTTAAAACTACTATAAGAAACGGAATCAAAAATACCCATTGGCCGATGAACCCGAAAAATAGTAAGGCATCTCCGGCTGCTGGTAGACATCAGCGATATCTGCCACTGCACAAAGCGAAAGAGAAGCAGTTTATCTTCCTCTGCGTAAACAGTTTTTGCTGTCGTGTAGTCTAATTTGTTAACCTAATTTTTTCGATTTCTGCTCTTCAACGACGAAAATTGGATCAGGTCACCCACCATGAAACCAGACCCAAAATATGATTACTTCTCAAAACCCAAAATTGCCCCTAATTTCTGATTACCTCTGCACATAGCGAAAGAAGCAATATTGGAAACAGTTTTCGGACGAAATTTGATTACCTTCCTTCGCGTAAACAGTTTTTAGTCTCAACTAATTTTTTCGAATTCTCTTCTTCTACTAACTTTTTTTTTTTTTTTTTGAAAATTTTTTTTTTTTTGGAAAATAAATAGTAAAATCTGAAATTTATTTTTTCCTCCAATTCGTTTATCTTTTTAAAGGAATAACAATAGTTAATAAAACAAAAATAACCTTAAAACTCAACTCGAAGTCTTAGCTGTTTTCATCTTATTTTTATCATTGACTGCTTCATTTATTAGTTTCTGTGGTTCAAGTAACACGACACACAAATTTATTGATAAATAATAATTTGATTTCTTCTTTGATTGCTTGTTTGGAAATAATTTATTGCATTGCATCAAAATCTATCTTTTTTTCATCAAACTATATTTGGTAGCTGATTTGCTAATTTACTTTCTTTATTTCTCTCATGTGGCTATTGATTATCTTCTCGTCAAGATTTCTCAGTATGTAACAATTATCTTCTTTATCTGTGATAATAATTTTCTCATTTAAACTCATTTTTACGTTTTCAGGAGACAATTTGTACTTCATTTTAGCTACCTTAATATATGTCTTTATGAGACTGAATAAACTGAAATAATAACAGAAAGAAAAGAGAAAACTGGAAAAATATTATATATTGATAATCGAGAAAGGGTAAAGTGTTTAGTTATATGAAAGTCCCATAAAAGTTAAGCTGTATATAGCTGAATTATACAATAATACAAATAATATTCTACTTTTTAGACTTCCAAGAGACAAATGCATCACCAAGAAAAATACACAAAACCCTATGAGAGAACTCCTTGTAAAGGAAAATGATGCCCTGTCTGCATAGCGGTAAGCTTGGAGCTGCAAATTATTAGAAGCAAAGAAAAACAAACCCCTTGAGGGACAACCATTTAAATACTTAACAAGATACAGAGCAACCAAAAGATAAGGTCGTCTAGAAGAAGACATAAATTGATTGAGATGGTGAACATAGTAATTCAAGTCAGGTCTTGTTAAAGGGGACGAAGTAGTTCACCAACATCTAAAAGTTCTTCATCTAGAGACCATTTAAGACCTCTAGGAAGAGGAGATAATGAAGCCTTAGCATCTTGCAAACCAGTTTCATGAACCACATCAAGAACAAATTTTTGCTAACTAATAATAGTGCCGTATCAGACCTGGCTATTTCAATACCCAGAAAGTATTTTGCAGAACCGAGATCCTTCATAGAGAATTTACAATCAAGAGATTGTTTAACAGAAGTATAGCACCCAGATCAACTCTAGTAAACATAACATCATCAACAAATACCAGAATAACAAGAAAATGATTATCAATAGATCTTATAAATGAACACTGATCATGAGTCGATTGACAAAACCCCAATTTAAGAATAAAGGTAGTAAATTCAAGGTTTCATTGCCTGGAAACTTGTCTAAGACCATAAACAGATCTTTTTGACATAACTCCATTAGGCTTATGACCATAAACAGATCTTTTTGACATAACTCCATTAGGCTTATATTTGATCTTAAAAATCCATTTATTACCCATAGCATGTTTACCATTAGGCAAAGTAGTCAAAATCCAAGTCCCATTATTTTCTAAAGCAGTCAATTCTTCTGTCATTGCCTTAACCCAATTAAGATCTTTTGAGGCTTTAAGGTAAGTGGTTGGGTCATGAATTTTAGCTATTTGAATGAAAGCTAAATGAACCTGAATCAGTACTGGAGAGAAAGAACTTGATGGAGAAATGACAATATTGACAAAATCCTTTAACATGCTGGTTAGGAAAGACTTCTGGTACTTCTTCTTAAAGGAACAGGGCTTTGAGAAACAGGAGAAAACGCAGAACTTGAAGAAGAATCAATAGGAGGGAGATAGGTAATTGAAAAAAATCAGTAGAACTGGAAAGAGGAAAATGTGCTGGATCAGGTAAAGAAACATCAAAAGCAGTAGAATAAGGAGGACCAGGAATAGGAAAAGAAGGTGGAATAGATTTTGAATTAAAAGGAAAATGAAGAACAAGTGACGGAGAAAGAGAAGACAGATTTACTAAAATAAGACAGTTATTTTTGCTAAAATAAGGGGACAAAAATTACAAATTATGTTGGATAGCAAATTTAACAAGTGAAAAGAAACAACACTGCTACCTTTTTTCTCTTGATAGCAAATTCTTGATAGCAAATTCAAGAGAAAGCAAGTAAAAATATAATAGGCCTCTTTGCGTAACAAAACTAGTTTTGAATATAATAGGCAAATATAAAGCTTGAAAGAATCACAACAACTAGTTTCAGAACAAAGCCTAACGAACTAAGTATCAGATGTACACAACACAAGATCGAAATAAAACTCTATTTGGAAGAAAATTTACAGATTTATCACGTCAAAGGCACATAAATATGATGAGGAGAGTAAACAAATGAAAAATAAACAACCAGTTCCCTCTTTTAATCGAATGTGCTGCTTTCTATGCCGCGTTCAATGGGTATGCAGCAAGTTCAAGAGAAAGAAAGCAAATAAAACAATTAATATTCCAAATTATTGCGAAGGCCCGCTGCAGCAAATATATAGAACAACAAGCTACTGAATTAAACTCAAAACAGAATAATACCTCCTGTAACTGCATAACAATTAAACTCAACTTTCACCTTGAGAACTTTTAGAGCAGCTCAAAAGCTTTTTTACAAGCAGATCATCATTTACTACCAACTCCACAAGCAGATCATCATTTACTACCAACTCCCTGCAGAAAACCCCTTGCCAACCATTTCATCAATTAGTTTTGTTGCCATTGACAAATCTTTGATTCGGAGATATCCTTGGATAATCACGTTAGAAGAGCGATTGTTTGGTAAACAACCATTCCCTTCCATTTTCCTGAACACCTTCAATGCTTCATCTAGTAATCCTTCTTTACTAAGTCCATTGACCATTGTATTGTATGTGCAAACATCAGGATGCAACCCTTCTATGGAAAGTCTAGAAAATAATTCCTTTGCATTTTTAACTTTTCCAGCTCTGAACATACCATCAATTAGAGTATTATAAACAATAAGGTTAGGCTTCAATAATTTCTTTTGCATTTCATGAAATAGATCCAATGCCATATCAAGACAGCTATGCTTACAAAAGCCATTCAAGACAGCTATGCTTACAAAAGCCATCTATCAGAATTGAGTAAGTTACATTATCAGGAGAATGGCCACTAGCACACAAGTTTTTAAAAAACTCATGCGCAGCGTCTTTGCTTTACACAAGCCACGTATAAGAGAACTGTAAGTAAAATCGTTAGGCATTAGGCCTTTGCAAGGCATTTCATCAAGAAGCCGCACTGCCTCACCTATCCTTTTTCTCTTACAATAACAATGAATCAAGATGCTGTAGGTAAAAACATCAGGTGTACAACCCTTGCTTATCATCAGGTCAAATATTTCTCTAGCTTGATTTTCTCTAGCTTGATCCACTTGGTTGTGTAGACAATATCCGTCCATCAATGAATTGTAGGTGATAACATCAGGCTCTGTTCCTCCTTGCATCATCAATTTGACTACATCATGAGCTTTTGAAACCTTTCCTTCCTTACAAAGTCCATCAACCAAAGTACAAAAGGTAATTATATTTGGTGTGATGTTTGCTCTCAACATTTGGTTAAGCAACATAAAAGCTTCCTTCCATCTGCTTGACATGCACAAACCATGGATTAAGGTGCTGTAAGTCACAACATTAGGCAAGATACCTTCGCTTTTTATTTTCAAGAAGAGGTCTAATGCCTCGGTAACAAATCTATCCTTGCAGAGGCTGTCAATGATAGCATTATATGACACCAAATCAGGCTCACAACCTTTCTCCACCATTCTTTTCAGAATATCGAAGGCAACAGTGGTTTTCCCAATTTTACACAGACCATTCACAATCACATTATAGGTATAAACATTGGGTTGATACCCTTTTTCAACAATATCATCAAACAAATCCACAGCTTCATCAAATTTATCCTCCCTACAAAGCCCATGGAAAAGCCCATGGAATTAAGGTTATAGTAAAAGCTTACAATGTCAGGCTTAAAACCAAGTTTGAAGATTTTTACCTTATAAGAGAGTACCCAAAATCCACATGGTCTAGATGGCAGAGGAAAAGCAAATTAATCAAAATACTTAAGAATAAATACAGGAAATTCCAAACATTCCCACTGTTTTAGACAGAGAAATGACATTAGCATAATGTTTCATTCGAAACAAGTGCAGATATATTTTATGAGTTCCATAACGGGAGGTGAGGGGTTTTACTACGGAAGCAATCAAAATGGAAAAGAAGCCCAAAGCATCATTGAATTGTTATGGAAGGAATCAGATTTGCATTTACCTCTCAAATATTTGTACTGCTTTTAAAAACTACCTATTAAGAAACTGCTTTTAAAACTACTATAAGAAACGGAATAAAAAATACCCATTGGCCGATGAACCCGAAAAATAGTAAGGCATCTCCGGCTGCTGGTAGACATCAGCGATTATCTGCCTCTGCACAAAGCGAAAGAGAAGCAGTTTTCGGGAGAAATTTGATTATCTTCCTCTGCGTAAACAGTTTTTGGAAGGAAATAGTTTTTGCTCTCGTTTAGTCTAATCTGATTACCTAATTTTTTCGCTTTCTTTTCGTCAATGACCAAAATTGGATCGGGTCACCCACCATGAAACCAGACCCAAAATATGACTACTTCTTCAAAACCCAAAATTGCCCCTACCACATTTCTACTAATTTCATAAATAGTAAAATTTCAGAACTTAAATTCCAACGAATACAAATTTTTTTGATAATTAATATTATAAAAAAAAGATAATTTTGAAACTTCTTTTTCCCCTTTTGTGCTTTAATTAGCATAAATTTTCTTTATCTTATACAAGTATTTATCAGTCTGGTTTGATTTTACTAAATTCATTACTGTTTGCATGATGTAAGCAATTGGTCTAATAATTGATATGTTATTATATGCTTACTTTGATCAAATTATTCGAATTAGATATAGCCTTTATCATCGAATTATCAAATAAGGGTGGAATTAGACTCCAAAATTAGAGGGGACTGAGGAGAAATTTTCAAAATTAAAGGATCAAAATCAAGGAAAATTTTGTTTTTGCACTACTTTATAGGGGAAATTAAAAAAAAAAAAGATTTATCAACCATAGAATTGTTCAAACAACTTTGGTGCCTCCATGTTTGATGATTCTTTCATGAAATTCGAACTAACCACATCTATGAACATTTCATGGAATCACATAATTGGATCCAACTGCAATTCCATACTCGGATTATTTGAAGCACTAGATTGTCCATGGAAATTAGAAGAATTTTGAAATTCACCGTGATATACCCATTGATAGTAGTTTTCTATGAATTCATCTCTGCGTAAGTGGAGCTTAATTATTTCAACATCATAGCATGCTCTATTTTTGCATTTTTTTAGATTATATGGACAGCTTATCCTATCTCCATCCATAAGATGTGGATTGCTGACAGCAAAATGAATAAAGTATTACAAACCGTCCAATTTTTACGTCCATTCAATTTTTGCATATTAGATACAACTATCCATTCTAAAGAAGATATGAACCGAAGTCCAATTTTATATTTTCCCAAACTATAGGAAATATCTAATTGTTCCCATCTTTGGATACACAAACAAGAATTGCCATCTATTCTAAAAATAGGCATATAACCTTCTTAAAAACCTACTTGCATGCATAAAGGCACATATAAAATTTCTCAACATTTTGCATTTCATCATCTCTCCTCTTGCACCTTGCAGAACAAGTTGACCCATGATTGGTTCTTCTAATATCATCTACATAGTCATGTAATCTAGCATATTCAATCCTATAATCACCTATAAAAGACCTTAAGACCTTAAGATTACTCTTCTAGCTACAATCGTACCCCACATAAGCACCTAAGTTATCCTTATACAAATTTTAAATTTCTCTAATTTTAATTCCAAATTAAGATAATACGCTTTCGTTAAATCTCCTTACAATGAAACTAAAAATCTGAATTTTCGATCATATGGACTATAAGTGTCAAATAATTATATTCCAAACCCAAATTCGTAAAGTTGAACTCAAGCACAAAACATGTTATCGGAATTCCTTATCGAGAACTTTCGAAAATTTTCAAAAATAAATGTTGAGCTTTCAATATTAAATTAATTAAAAAAAACTATATACGACTGCTATTTAAATTAATTATCCTAAACTCAAATATTATTATTAATATTATTGAGTAAATTGAAAAAATATTCTAGACACTAAATCAAACCTGTAGAAATAAATTAAGGACTTAGAAGCTTCCAATAATTGAACCAAACCCTTTGAATTAAACCAAATGAAGCTTCCAATAATTGAACCAAACCCCTTTGAATTTAAACCAAATCAGTTATAAGGCAAAAAATATTCTAGACACTAAATCAAACCTGTAGAAATAAATTAAGGACTTAGAAGCTTCCAATAATTGAACCAAACCCTTTGAATTAAACCAAATCAGTTATAAGCCAATCAATGAGCAGAGAGAAAGCCAACAGAACTTCATTTTTCTCCTCTCCATCACCGACGGACCCCTTCTCCTCTCCTTTCCCATTTTTCGGCCAAACGACCATAGTTTCCAGCGAGCCAACACCCTAAAGAGGAGCGTAGAAGGCTATGGGTATAGAATCCAAGCTACTCGATTGAACAGCAGGTCTCTTGAGCCTTGATTTGATTGGCTAAGAGAAGCCTTTTCTTTTGTCTCGGTTACTTCTTCTCATACTTGATCTCCAAGCTTATAAAATGAATACAGATCTTTCTTTCTCCCCATGTTCACGAACGCGACTAGAGTAAGCGGGAGTAGGTCTCGCTGGGTCGCACTTACTTTCTCCTCGCCCAAAAGGAGAGCCAACAACTGTCCCTCTTAAGGCTTCGAAGCAGAGTCGCTTTCAAGAACCAAACGGCCAAGAAAGACTTTTACCGAGAATGATTGAAACACCGCTGATATGAAAGTCAAACCCATCGGGGGAAAGCTTTTTTGCTCGATGGGGCTCTGCGGTGGGGCTCAATAGAGGCGTGCCACTCGATCACTTATCCACCCGGCACCTAAGAATTTCACAATACTAGTGACAGCACACCGAGGGCTCTGGTGGCAGAGCCATCTACTCATCGAGGAGAAGCTGATTATGGTCTCGGCTCGAGCTGTAGTGACCTTATAAGGGAGAAATCAAAGCAAGAAGCTTGGGTTGCTATGATAGTTGTGATTCCAGCGAAGTTCACGTTGTTTCCGGTAGTCTCGCTTGCAATAGATGGTCTCGATCAATTCCTTGATGCTTAGTTAATATTTTCCCTCTATCAATCGTTATAGCTGAGCTCGCATGATGAAACCACCGTGAATGGTGGCTCATTGTGGCTGAAGAGGCTTCTTCCAGCGAAACAACTTGACAAATCTGCAAACTAACATTGGAAGTGAACTCCTCACTGAATTCCAAACAGTTCGGTTTAAGCATTACACATTTCCTGTGCAATCTAATTTTTCGCCCACCGTATGTGGCGGTTCTGGCGATGCTCCAGCTGAGTGTTAGAAAGAACCCTCATCCCCTTGCGTAGATCGCAATGGTTAGACCAATCATCATTCTGTAGGCAATAGAATCTATTCGAATTTAATTGTAATTCTTCAATTTATATGGTTTATTCCTCTTTAGGATTTGAACTTGATTTTGACTCTCAAACTTAACAATTTTAGGAGTTAAGCTACTTAATTTAAAAACCACTAAGAGTCAACACGTTTGTTAGTTTAAGGTTAAGATATAATGATGTAGTTACAGGATTATTGGGACTGTGTTTCGGATTTGAATTAGATACTAGTCAGTATTTATGCATACATATGATCAAATATATGCTCAGAAATACTGCATATGAACTCAAATTGACAAATGATAAGGAATATATGTATATGTATGTGCAGGTATTATAACTAGATTTAGTAAAAGATGTCGAATGATGAATGAATGGTTGAAGGAAAGGATTAAAGTGAATTAGTGTAGAGGCAATGATAATGCTTATGGATTTAAATTGATAGATGATGAGAAATGTATATATGTGTAGCATTATAAATGTGTTTAGTAAATGAAGTTTTAAGTAATGGAGGATGGGAATTGACTAGTGATTACTTGACCGAGGGATGGGCAATGTTGGTTCTTGATACAAGTGTATACATTTTATTGTTTAAATTTGAAAATTGAAAATATAGGACTAATCTGATTTTAGGAGAGATGCTGCCAGATTTTCGGCAAGATAGTTGGATATATAATATGGAATAAGAGACTTAGGCTTGACGAAAATATAAATTAGAGGAACAACAAAGACATTGAAAAAATCAAACATTTTGGGAAATAGTCAAATTGAAATGTAAAACTTAGGCTAGTGCATATAACATATATATAAACTAGAACTTAAGAGTAGGAAACCGAAATAAGAAATTTATGTTAATCCATAATATTCAAATTAAATGGTTGGAAAAAAAAAAGATATAAACACTATTATTGAAATCAGAATCTAAAAATGACAGTTAGACATCATGAATGATAAACTTATTTCGATTCCTTTCTTTTGATATTCTTGCGGGTCTCAAGGAATCAAATTTCGGATAACAGGATATCAAAAGAGGAGCACAACTTCTAGCTAAACTATAACGCAGTGAGTAGACTAAATGTTATACATGCTTTACTTGATAAATTGCTATTTGTGCTGGACCATTTGTTGCTAATGAACATTGTTTGATTAGTTGTAGCGTGATACATGTATGCTTTGTTTGTATGGAATTGGAATGAAGTGAGTCACCGCTGGGTTTGTGAGGACAACCCATGATACCATCGGCCACGTATGGGGAGATTGACGCTCCCGTGTGCATCTGATGAAATATGATATAAATGATATGGAAAATCACAAGGTAGCCTCCTACTGGTATGAAAAAGAAAAGAGGGCTGATCAAGTGAGGTTGAGACAGGGATCGGCTCCCTGGTGCACATGTGACGAGAGGGCGCACCATGTGTGAGGACAGCTCGTCGGGAGGTTTTGGTGACGTCACTGACCAATCTCCACTTGACGTGATTATGTGAATATGTTAATATTTGTGATTTTTATTGCAATGTCATTTATGTGATCGACTGCATGACCATGTAATTAGTCGGAGGACTAGATTGATTTATACACACATTAGTATGATTGTGTGGGATGATATGGGTTTTCTAGCTCACTGACTTTAGGCGCTCGCGCTCACCCTTGCCTTAATATTTTTTTCAGGTTACTGGCCTTCCAATAACTCATTGTCCCCTATCATCAGACGTCTAGAAGAAACATCGATAAATATTTTCAAATTTTAAGTTCTTAGATTATTTCGTATTTACGATAGTCATGTGTAACAAATTTAGAAATTATTGATGTATTACTTATTAAAGTTTCTATTATGTAATATATTGAGACGGGCCTCAAGAACTTTGAAAATTGACTTATTATTGAATATGATGATACGGGCCAAGCGAGGCCAAGACTTACGATATTTGAATGTTGATGATATTGGGCTTGAGGCCATTTCTATTGAACATGAGTCTTGTAGTGGCTTTAAGCCTACCCAGGTCTTAGTGCCGGTCCGGT